TCTCCCATAATTATCAGACCAGAGGGAACGACTTGTAAAGGTGGGAGGACTCTAGGAGATTTCCAGTCATGAGCTAGGGAGGCAGGAAGGGAGCTGAGGAGCAGCATCTGAGGCTGGGTGAACCTGGGGCTGGAGAGGGAGGCAGGAATGGGGAGGCACAGCCTCCACAAAAGGCAAGAGTGGGAAAGCGTCAGGGAAAAGCCTGTTAGAGCCACAGCCGGCCCAAAGCCCAGAATTGGAGCAGGAACCCGCACCCTCCTCCTCTTTCCTCTGCCATTCTGGGAATGGCCCTGGTGCCTGAAGCTGCTCTGCGCCCATGACTTCTGCCTGGCCCCTAGCCAGATCAGTCCTCTTACATTTCACAGAGCTGGGACAGGCTGACCAGCTCAGCCAGACACAGAGCAGGGCTGGGGTGGACCTGCAGGCTGCTCCTCTTCCCCCTCCCTGCCGCATGAATCACTGTGGTCACTGTCGCCATGACTTTGTTAAAAAAGATGGAATTTCCTCAAGGGGACTGGAGAATGTTGTGGGAGGTGTCTGCCTCCTAAAGCTGCATCTCAGAAATTAGTCATTGTTAACAGCTCACTTATCCTCACTCACTCTGAACTTAAGGACAGTAATGACCATCATTTTACATGAAAGGAAACTGAGATTCAGAGAGGTAAAGTGACTTGCCCAAGGTCACACACCTTGTCCATGGCCGAGTCAGGACTTGGACCCATTTATTTAGCTCCAGGGGAAAATCTCCTTGCGGCTGATTGTTCTCTCAGCCATAGAGGCCCTTCTGGCAAGAGCCAAGCATGCCGCATCGCAGGTTCTCTGGGAAAGCTCCCTGAATTGAAAGAAACGAGTCCTGTGTGGACAGGAAATTATCTCTGCTGGGTACCCCCCCCCTTCAGAGGATTCGATGAGGAGACTTGGGAGGCTGAGGGTCCCTTCCTGCAGGAGAGCTCAGGACCACACCAATCACTCTGGCACATCCACACCATCAGCATTCACTGGGGAACTACCAGGTTTTAGCACAGTGCCAGCACTGGTGGCACAGCCAAGAAGACCACAGACAAGGCCCTGACCTCATGGAGCTTACAGTCCAAGCAGCACTGCCCAACACAACTGTCGGCAGGGATGGAATGTTCTAGATCTGCACTATCCAGTATGTCAGCCACAGCTGCATGTGTTTCCTGCACACTTGAAATGTGGCTAGTACAACTGAGGAAACAGAATATTTTATTTAGATTTAAATTGCCACATGTAGCTAGTGGCTACTATATTAGACCATAAACAAGTTTGTCTAATAAACAAATGAGATTATCTCCAAGAGTGCCAAGGAGGCTCCAGTGATGAGGAGGGAGGCAGGTGAGGCTGGAGGGTGCCCCTGGGTCTGACTTCCTCACGTCTGCTGTTCCAATGCTAACAGCTCCGCCTGGTACTTAGGCAGGCCCTAAAGACAACGGGGTCCACTGTCATTGGCTTCTGTGTGGTTTAGGGTGGGAAGGGACAGAGATGAGGAATTTTTTTCTCTTTCGAGGCAGGGTGTACCTCTGTCACCCAGACTGGAGGTCAGCGGCATGATGTTGGCTCCCTGCCACCTCTGCTTTCCCAGCTCAAGCGATCCTCCACGCTCAGCCCCCGAGTGGCTGGGACTATAGGCGCACACCACCACACCCGGCTTTTTGTATTTTTTATAGAGAGAGGGCTTCACTATGCTGCCCGGGCTGGTCTCAAACTCCTGTGCCCAAGCAATCTGCCCACCTTGGCCTCTGAAAGTACTGGGATTACAAGTGTGAGCCACCATGCCCAGCTGGAAAAGGAGTTTTAGGGCATCCATCTTCTATAATGAACAGGCAATGCTTTTATAATCAGAAAAAAACCTCTACATTCTCAAACTCGGTATTTTTTTAGGCATCTAGCTTCTATGTTTTTAATAACCCTGAAGAAGCTGACAAGGTGATTACTGCATAGTTCTACTGCTAATTAAGCCACGTAGACACTCTACAAGGGGCCAGAGGGAGATCCCCAGATCCCAGGACTCTAGAATAAGAGAACATTCAAGGAAGGAAGCTAGAAAGAGCCACAGTACAGACACAAGAGGCTCCTGCCCCTGCCCTCTCCCACGCCCAGACAGAGCAGTATTACAGGGTTTGAGGCAACAGAGACACTAGACCAGATTTGCATTTTGGAAACATCCTGTTCTGCTGGAAACTGGTAAGAGGAAGAGAACCAAGACTCAGGGTTGAGGTTGTCCAGAAAATGGAAGGTAGGAGCTAAACCCGGGTGGGGGTGGGGGTGGGAGAAACAAGTGGGTGGGCTCCAGAAGGCCAGTGGCTGGCAGGACCTGGGACCATGGGAGAGGGAAGTGTCAAGAGCAGAGCCTGGTGTTGAAGGTGCGCAGGTGATGAAGGAAGCAGCCATCAGCACAAGCCCACACCTGCCTGCAGGCAGAGCGGCATGAAGGAGGAGGGGGCCAGCATGAGATGCCCTGAGCCTAGAGCCTGGGGAATGTGTCTGAGCATCTGTGTATAGCTCGGGGTAGGGGAGGACGCTCAGAGAGGCTTCTCCTTCTCCAGGCGGTAAAGCAGCCCTGGATCCGGCCCTGTGGAAGGACGAAGGTGCTGGCTCCTCCTCACTCACCCTCGAAGCCCCTCTCTGGCCCCATCCAGCTAGCAGGAGTGACCAGTTGCCTGGACAGGCACCGCCACATAGGTTGAGACACCAGCGCCTGGGGCTTGTGCCCATTCGTCCTAAGAATACTTACTGAAAATCTCCTGCATATGAACTCTGTGCTGAACTCAGGGGTACAGCACTGCGGGTGGCAGTCAAGCTCTCTGTCCTCAGGGGGATCCCAGTCCAGAAGGAACAGTCCTCAAAGAATAAAACTAACAAGAACCCCAGGTGGTGATGGTGCCAGGAGCAAATCAGAAATGAGATCAGAGCTCACTGGGGTGGGGCACAGGCCTGGGGGACTGGAAGGAGCCAGCAGGACACAAAGGTCTGGAGCTCGGAGCCAGGGAGTTTGGAGAATGGAGCTGGAGAGGTATGGAGCCAGGACAGAGCAAGGCAGCGACAGCAAAGGGACAGGGAATGGCTGGTGAGGAGCAGTGGTAGGATCATATTGAGGAAGGTCCAGGAGGCAGCCTAGGACCCGACAAGAAGGAGGCCACCATTGTGATGGGGCTGATGCCAGGGCTGGCCCCAGGACATGTCAGAGGCAGAAGCCCATTTCCAGAGCCTGAGAGCAGCTGGAAGAAGAGGAAGCAAAACTTCTCGTGACCATGGCTCCTTCAAAGGAGGAAAGATCAGGGGATGCTTCCATACCTTTGATTACATTTTTATTTTGGTAGAGCGCCTAACCATGCTCATGGGCATAGTCTGCGCGTTTACAGAGAGGCACATTGGGAAGATGCAGATGGGCGCGTTAACTAAGCAGTGGTGAGAGCAGCGGGAAGGTCAGCCCTAGGGGAAATATTTCATCCCGTAGTCCATGGCCACAGACCTGGCCATGGGGAGATTTAATGCACTAATAAGGCCACAAAAAGACACTGATGCTCACTAGCAATCAGAGAACTGCAAATTAACACAACAAGAAATGATTTGTCACCCTTCATGCTAGAGAAAAATAGATTGATGATCTCAGGTGTTGGCAAGGGTTTGGAGAAAGGGCACTCTCATAGATTACGGAAAGAGTGTGAATTCGTACATTTTCTAGGAGGGTGCAATATCATTAAAATAAAATATGTGGGTCCCCTGTGGCCGGCCTCAACATCCCAAGAGGAAATTCTCAGGTGAGCACAAGGCAGTCTGTGCTCGGGTAATTACAGCTGTGTTGCCTGCAGTGGGTAAGAACTGGAAACAAATATCCGATGGTTAAACTGAAAATCTGTTCCTTCGCATCCTGTGAGGCTGCTAAAAGAGAAAGGGAGACAGATACTGCATTGAGGCAAGATCTCCAAGACCCAGTGTGGAGTACAACCACCCATGGAGGAACCGTGAGTCCAGCACATCCCCGTGTGCCATTTCCCAAGCAACACAAGTACATAAAACATTGGGAGCAATCCAAAGGATGCTGCTCAATTCACAGCAGGGGTAACCTCAGGAGAATGGGAAAAAGAGGTGTCAAAGCATAGTTCACCTTTCTAAGAATGTTTCGAGTCCTTGCAAAGGGAATATTGATGTATTAAAAATGCCTTTGCAGGGGAAAGGGTAAACACAACCTTGGACTCTTTCATGAAATTATAGAATTTAGATGGGAGGAGACAGCTCTTCTACTTTACTCTGTGTGAGGTTATTCCACGGCTGGAGCTCTAGGTTCAATTTTCAGGAATCTTACATTAAAGCAGCAGGTGGACAAATGAGGGAGGCATTCTAGGGAGGGCAGATGAAGGGCTGAGACTCTTCAAGAACTGACTGAGGTTGTTTCAATACCTAAAACCTTAGGGTCTCTGAAAGCACTGAGTAACATGCAGCAGAAGATCCCATCAGGACTGATGGGTACCAGACCCTTTGGAACCATTGGAAAAAATTCTTAAACAGATCTGCCCAAGGACAAGCATGCACTACATCAGAAAGAATTGTGTACACCATCAAAAGAGGTATGCAAGCACACACCAGGCCAGCTAGGCAAGGTGCGTACGGAAAATACTCCCTGAGTCCACCCTTCCTGCCTCAAGTTCCTACATCCCTTCCAACTTGATGATTCTGATTCTCTTTCTGCCAGAACAGAAAGAAACACAATCTGCTCCACACAATCCGTAAATACTTAATTGTTTGGTGCTTTTTAGTACGCTTCTACTGCTCACAGAATTGCACATATTTTAGACTTTTCACCTCTGGCATCTGCTCCCTGGGTCCCATTTTGACCAGTTGCACCAGAGGAGATCTCAAGCCTGCACCCTCCCACACATAACTTAATCACAGACACCCCAGCCCTTCCTCCTCCTTCCCTCATGGACCAGCACCACCTGCCCAACCCTCCGTTCCCACCCACAGAGGCATAAACTCACAGACAGCCAAAAAGCCAAGTCCTCCATAATTTCCATTTCAAGTTTGCTTCCTTTTACTGCCAGGGAGACAAAGGGAGCTGAGAAGGATTCTCATGAAGAGCTACTCAACTTCCATGATTGGAACAGTGGAGGATTGGCCTCTCCAACCCAGAGAAAGGCAATCCATCATGGAGGGCTGAAGGCTGAATCACACATTCCTAATAAAAGGATTAATTAAAGCCTTAAGGGTCTGCCAGGGCAGCCTCTGCTTGAAACTCTAAGGAAATTAACCTGCCCTCCCAGATAGAGAAAAGTCAGAGATTTCTTCAGGCTGGAACCTCAGTTTGACCAAGTGACACAGTGTCAATTGTTCTAACAAAGAAATCTTCCGGATTTGCATGGGTTTATTGTTTAAATTTTCTAATGGGGGCTCCAGTGCCCACACAGCTGCCTGTAATGGGTCCTTGCAGGCAGTTTATCAGGAAGCTCTGATGTGTTCAGTGAAGGAATCCCTCCCCACAAAGCCAGCCTTCACCCGGGCCCCAGGGATTATCTCTACTTTGATGCCCACCATTTAACATGATCAAGTCCCCATTTGGGCTCTTTGCATTTAGAGAGAATAAGTCTTCAAAGGCAGGCAAAGCAACTTGTTATCAAAACAGAATCTACGAAGGAATTGTGCTTCTCTAAGATACAAAACTGAGTCCTGTGGCTTGATACCAAAACACCAGCTTTCATTCTTTTTTTGAACCCTACATTTCAGAAGCCCAGACTTCTCCCTGTGAAGTGAAAATTGCCTTCTGGTGGAGAGAGGTTTTAATGATCACTTTGCTTCCTGCGTCTCCATGGTGACAGGCGCACAGAGCCCACCCCCCTCCTGCTTTATTAGGCCTTTCTTCCTCTCTGGAAAGTAATCAATCAAGCCCTATAGATGCCTTTGTGACCGGTTTATCGCCTAAACAATCAACGCTGCCTTGGGGGTGGAAGAGTGGACAGAGTCCACACACTGTCACGAAACCGGGCTCTGTCCTGGCGCACGCCCTTCCTCTCCCTGCCGGTGGCTCTGCCCAGCACACCTGTCCGGGGGTCGGGCGTGCCCAGGTGCGCCAGGCCCCGCTGGAGTCAGGCGGCCAGTGGAAGCCCTCAGCGCTGTGGCCTCAGCTGCGGAGCGCTGCCCTCTCAGAGCGGATGCCCAAGCGGGGATCACCGGAGCTGGGGCCCGGCGTGGGGAGGGAGGGAAGAGCCCGGAACCAGCGCTGGGCGGAGGCGGCCACGGGTCTGCCTGTCTTCCCCCAGCCGGCCAGCACCCGAGGAAGGGAAGCCCCCTTCCAGGGGACTGCAGAGCTCACCAGCCGGCGAGAAGGGGAGGTTGCAGCGCCGGGCTCTACCCAGGAAATCAGCTCTTTATGGACAAAGGACTCTGAGGCGCCCCAGCCCTGCGCGGCTGGGGATAGGAACCACGGGGCCGAGCGCCGGGTCCTGTGGCGGCTCCCGAATGCAGGCAGGGCGCGGAGCCCCGCGGGGTCCTGCTCCCAGCGCCACCTGCCTCAGGCCTCCCCGACCCCGCCCGCCGCCGCCGCCCAGCCCGTTACCTGGATTCTCCCCGGCGTCCGCGGAGGAGGTGGCCGAGGAGTCGGTGAGGACGCTGGGGTCACTCTGCGAGCGGCCCCGCGACACGAGGCAGCCGCTCCCGTCCTCCGACGCGGCCATGGGCCCGGCCGGCGCGGGGGCAAGTTAGAGCGAGCCGCGTGGAATCAGAGCATCCGAGACGGCCAAGGTCACCGGCGAGGGGGCTGGAGGGGGCGTCTTTTTAAAACAGAAAATTTTAAAAAGGCCGGGAAAGGAAAAGAGCTGAAAAAAGACGCCGGAGCTGGCGTCAGGGCGGGGAGACAATAGCCTCGCCGGCTGCAGCCAGGCGCATCCCGGCGTGCGCGGCCTCGCTTTGTTATTTATTCGTGTTTATTCCCATTCTTCAGTCTATATTCCAGAAAAAAAAAAAGTTGAACCAGGAAATAAAAACTTTTTCTTGTCAGTGTTTATTGCGTGCTTGGGGCAGGGGGTGATGTCCTGGAATGTCTGGGGGCGCTCCCTCCCCCCCCCCCCCCCCCCCACCCCCCCGGAGAAAAAGGAAAAAGGAAGAATCTTTGCTCTTGCGATTGCTTTAATCTGAAAGCTGTTCTTGGAGCATCTGTTGGAAAACATTAGGATTCTCCCATCATGCCGTGCGAGAGGAGCATGACGTCACGGGAGAGGGGCGTGAGAAGGCGCGTGGCCACAGGGAGGGGTCGTACATACCTGGACCACGCGCTGGGGTAGGGGAGGCGGGGCTGGACGGAGGATTAGGAGCCGCCCACCCCACCCAGCTGCGCTCTACAAGCAAGAAAGCTTCCTAGTCCCGCTTCCTCCCCTCCCCTAGGAAAGGGAACCCTGAGGGCCCCTAATTTCCCCAGCAGCTGCAGGCAGCTGGTTTCCCTGGTCCTTCCTCTGCTGGGTCTCGGAGGCCAGTGGGTGCTGACGCGCCCACCCCGGCACCGCGGGGAGCAACCTGAGGCTTCCTTCCCGCAGCCATCTGGCCTGGGCCTACCGGGCACCCCGACACTCCGACCCCCTCAGCCCCTACTCCCTCCCTGAGCGGGAGGAAGAGGGAGGAGGGCATGAGCCCTTTCCAATGAGCCGTCTTCTCAGACGCCCCTAGGAAGCTGAGGGGCCAAGCAAGGGAGGCGACACCCCCTAGGGCAGCCACTCACAGAGGTGTCCTCCAGGGTGCTAAGGAGCGATTCTCACAACCCCGGCGGTGGTGTGGGGCGAACACAGGCAGGCAGCTGCTGCTTCCCAAGCCAGGGCAGGGAAGGAAGAAAGTCCAGGAGAGGGGTAGAGAGGAGGCCGTAATGGGGCTGTCACCTGGCCTGGTCCTGGAAGGTGCCCAGAGAAGGACGCATTTCAACAGATTTCAGGATTCAAGGGTCGAAAAGACACCTATGAGAGGACACCCCCATTTCAATTTCTCAAACAACCCCATGGGGCAGCCCTGCTCTGGGTCTGCTTTGCAGGTGCTGGATATGAGGGGCAGAGTTGCTCACCGAGGGCCCTCCTGCTAGGGGCAGAGCCTTCTGTTAGGCTGTCCCCATCAGATTAGCACCCACAGCAGAGCCTGGGAGTGCAGGGTGAGTGCTGGCAGTGTGGACGAAACCCCAGTTAAGTGCCAAGGACAGAACTGAGCGGGATGGGGGTGGGGGAATAAAATGGATGTTCACTCCATACAGAGCTTTGAGCTCTCAGCAGCGGTTATTTCAGCAGCATCCCTCGCCTCCAAAGAAAGGACTCATTCATTCATTCAAACTATGTGCAGAATCAAGTTTGTGCCAGGCAGCACACCAGGCATTAGGGACCTAGCAGTGCACAAACACAGAGACGCCCCAACCCCTTGAGTCTTCTGGGAAAGAAGAATGGTCACCAACAAACTAATAAGATGCCCAAATAATCATTTAATTACAATTGGCAATCAAGATCATGAAACAAAGAGGAAACTGGTGGGAAACTGCCAGGACTAGATACGTTTTATCCACATAAAAATGTGCTGGCTGGATGGTGATATGCCCTGCCAGCCTTGGACTGGGCATTTTGCATGATTACTTCCTACAACTGCCCTGGGAGGTGGGAGCTACTGTGGTCTCCACTTTTGAGATGAGGGCAACTTCAAGAGGTGAGCACCCTGCCCAGGTCACAAGCCAGCACGTGGAAGAGCTGGGCCACAGCCAATGCTCCTGGCCCAGGGTCTCTCCAAGTGGGTCTTCAACACCTCCCACTCCAAGCCCCTGGGGTTCTCCTGACACACTGAGTACAGCCCCACGGGAAGGTTTCTGAATCCTTGCCCCCAACCATGCCATGGGCCCGTCCCGAGTCTGGGTGAGCGAACATCTGAGACAATTGAGTTCTATTGGAAGGAAGCCTGCAGCTGACCCAGCTGTGGCAAGTGGAGATGGTGGGGAGCGGCAGGAAGGGATGGAGGCCAGAGACTGGCTGTGGGTGGGGACGAGGAAGAGAAAGCACATGCCAGAGGTCTCCAGCTGTCTGTCATTTGCCAACCACCCCTACATTTTTTAGCCTTCCCTATTTACAACCTATCATCCCATTGCCTTAAGATTTGTCTTTAAATCTATTATTTGCACTTAAATGCATTTTTCCGCTCTCTCTTCCAAGCTTCCTTCCTTCCTCCTCCAAGCTTCCTTCCTTCCTCCCTCCCTCCCTCTACTTCCTTCCTTCCTGTCTTTCTCTCTTTCTTTCTTTTTCTGTTTTTTGTCTTTTGGTTTTTTTTGTTTGTTTGTTTGTTTAAAGAGTTTTGCTGTGTTGTCCAGGCTGGAGTGCAGTGGCTACTCACAGGAGCAATCATAGTGCACCACAGCCTCAAACTCCTGGGCTCAAGCAAGCCTCCCACCTCAGCTTTCCGAATACTTGGGATTACAGGTGTGCATCTCCACGCCTGGTCGACACGCATGTCAAAGGAAGCCTTCAGTAGGACGGGTGGAGCACAGCCTCGCTGTCTGGCCTCGGCAGCAAGGAGCACGCGCTCAGTAGCTGATGCACTCTTGGCCTGAGCTGGCTCCTGTGTGGTTAAAAAGGGCCCAAAGGTAAGAGAGGAGTTCAGCCAGGCACCCACCGAATGGAGACATCCTCTTTAATGTTACCAGAAGGACAAAGAACAGAAGGAACTTTCTATCTAAGCCAATGTTACTGCCTTGTCCACGAACCACCAAAAATTATCTCTAGTTCCTTCAGATGGTCCACACTGCACACCATTCACCTACTCCACCAAACTGTGCATGCACGAGGGTTAAAGACATATCAAAGGATAGGATTTAGCGTTTGGGCTCAGGAGCCCATGTGGAGTGGGGAAGCAGAAGATGAGATACAACCAGGTTTATTTCTGAAAGTATGTATTTTAGCAAAACACTGTGATTTGTTAAAGGTAGGTAGAGATGGAGCTGTTCATTATATTATTCTTTGGCTTTGAGGTGTTCCATACTAAAAATAGATTTAAATTTAAAAAAAAATAGCAATCCCACCTCTAGTGGCCAATGGAAAACAATAAGGTCTCTGGGTAAATTGCCTGCCGGAGAGACTTCAGCCTTGAGACTTCGGCTCAAATCAGTCATCTCCAGACCATGACCGGCTTGAGCCCTGTGAGGATCTGGCCCCCTCGGTGCGTGAAAGGCACCTGTCTGGAGGTGGGTTTTTGTGTAAGTCACCAACTGTCCCTCCAAGGGTTGGATTTGGAAGGCCACTGCAGAAACCCTATTGGAACCAACAAAGCTTATGGCCAAAAAGTTGCAATCTAAGTGTCCACCAACTGATAAATGGGTAAATAAAATGCAGTTCATTCTTACTTTAGGACAGAGCCATGAAAAGGAAGGACGCACTGAGATGCGCCACAATGCAGGTGAACCTGGAAAACTTGGAAGGACACATTGACACATGCCACAGTGCAAGTGACCCTGGAAACCTGGAAAACATGGAAGGGCGCACTCACACGCCACAACACAGGTAAAACTGGAAAACATGATGCAAGTAAAAGAAGCCAGTAACGAAAGGCCACACGCCACACAAACCCAGTCACATGCAATGTCCGTCGAATCGGAAAGCAGATCTGTGGATGCCGAGGGAAGAGGGGCTGGCTGCTGGTGGGTACAGAGTTTCCTCTCTGAGTGCCAGAAATGTTCTCAATCTTCTAAAATTAGATGATGGTGACAGTTTTTATAACTCTGTAAATATACTAAAAACCACTGAATTTTATACTTTAAATGGGTGAACTTAATGGTATGTAAGTTCTTTCAACAAAACTGTTTAAGCTGATTTTTTTTAAAGCATACAGAGGCACTAGGCTGAGCTTTGAATTTGGAGAATTGGGTTCCACTTCTTGCTCTGGTGGGCATAATCACACTGAAACCCTTCCTGTCCCCGCCCAGATTCCAGATCAGATAGAAGCTCATTGAGAGCCCCCGACCTCCCCCCCTCCCCCCTCCCCC